GCAGTATCAGCGGTAGCTGTCAATTAAGCTTTACATGACTGAAAATGGCTTCAGTCATGCCACGAGCAACAGCACTGCTCAGGATTTAGGGAGAAACTGGCGAATGTCTGCCCGATGAATTTCTTGTCAACTCAGATCAATATGGACACTAGAACGTGTTCCAAACCCTAGTGTGCTGCCTGCATAGACAGTGAGCCTAACCTTGTAAATTAGTGACTTGGGATGATCGGTATACACTGTAAAAAATTATTTTTCAATGCAAAACAAAGATTAGTGGAGTATGTTTTAAAATAAATATTATTTCAGGCTTTCTACTTGAAAATATCACATTTAAGTCAATGCAAAACAACGGGTTTGTTAAATTTACCAGCAATTTCCAAGTGAAATTTGTTTCGGCACCAAATGCTACAAGTCTTGTACACAATCACAACACTTTCAGTACAAGAAACAGGGACTGCAATAAGTAAATATATACGCAAAACGAAAGAGAGAGAGAGAAAATGGGATAAAGACTATCAATATCAATATTTGCTGACAAAAAGCACTCAAACAAAAGTACTGTAGCTTTAGAATTTAAAATATTGTTTTGTTTTCATACCATTGCCAAAATATTTATTTTATTTAAAACTAATCACATTAAATTAACCATGAACCGACTATATTATATAAATTAAATATAACCGACTATTCTGTCATGTCACCTGCCATGATGGATTTATGCACCGCAATGCAATCTGGGAATGATATTTGTCATTCTGCATAGATGCCACTTATTCACCAGTTATAAAAATATATATTTGTGTCTTATAATTCATCTATACATACACTAGTATATAAAGAAGTCTCTTCTGCTCATCAAGGCTGCATTTATTTGATCCAAAGTACAGCAAAAACAGTAAAATGTTGAAATATTTTTACTATTTAAAATTGCTTTCTATTTGAATAGATTTTAAAATGTAATTTATTTCTGTGATGCGCAGCTGTATTTTCAGCATCATTACTCCAGTCTTCAGTGTCACATGATCTTCAGAAATCATTCTAATATGCTGATTTGCTGATTATCAATATTTAAAAAGTTGAGTACATTTTTTTTCAGGATTCTTTGATGAATAGAAAGATCCAAAGATTAGCATTTATCTGAAATAAAAAGCTTTTGTATCATTATACACTATTCCATTCAGTATAATTTTTATTATTTTTTTTGGGAAAGAAATTATAGAAATTAATACTTTTATTTAGCAAGGATGCTTAAAATTGATCAAAAGTGATGATAAAGGCATTTATAATGTTACAAAAGATTTCTATTTCAGATAAATAGTGTTCATATCGATATCGGAATTATATCGTATCGACCGAAATTAAGAAATATATCGTGATATCAATTTTGGCCATATCGTCCAGCCCTAATCGAAACACTGCGCTGTTGCACGTTCTACAGGCTTGTGGTTTCAGTTTACAATCAATGAATACCGCACGTTTATGCCAATAGGTTGCTTATGATCAACTGTTGATGAATTATGACATTGTTGTAATAGTTGTGAGATGCATATTTTATCTTCCTCATGTTGAGCAGCTGGAAGTAGTAAAACAAAGCCATTTCAAAATAAGAGTCATGGTGCATTTCTGGCATGTTAATAATTAGAAGTCCTCAATCATGCTTAAAAAATCTGTTTGTTTTCTGGTTAGTATTGCTATTTTGGTTACACAAGCTATCCAGCATTTAATTCAATGTCACAAGAAGGATTGGCAAAAATTTTAATTTAACACATTAAGTATGAATTCTCCTGGAACGATTAAAACATTTTTGTCATGCATTAAGCTGAAGGACTCTATATAATTGTTCTTATTACTTTTTTGTTCTTGTTATTATTTTTATTATATGTATGTTTTTGTATATTTGTACTTTTATTTATTTATATATATATAATTTTCAAACAAAACCGTTATATAATTGTTTTGAAATTATATATATGACTGAATTGTGAAATTGAAATGTTTCTTACCATGAATATAGCCACTGCTGCTGACATGGCATTAAATCATAAATAAATAAATAAACGCATTGTCGATTTTACTAGTATTTCTACAATACATTTTTGTTGCCTTTTTGTATTATCATATCAGCAAAATCCAACATCATTCAACCTATAACTTGAATTTATTTTACATTTCTGCTTTTAGCAGATGCTTTTATCCAAAGTGACAATACAATATTTGTAATATACAATGGCAGGTTAGATTAAGAAGCAATCATGTGTTGATTGATTAGTACATTATACCAGTTTTAGTAAATATATATTAAAAAAAAAATGTTGAGTATTTTAAATTTTATACACACACGTTAAAAAATCTGATATACATGATTATTTTTTAGGTTTTATAGGTGTTTTGCATGCACAAATAAAATTCAAACCACATGCACATGTCCTTAAAAGTCCTTAATTTGATATTGAAATTGCAAACACCCTGATTAAATGACTTGCTTGTGTTCTTTCAGGTCCTATGAGCACGCAGTTCTGGCCTGTGGCACGGATTTCCGCTCCGACCGTCTGTGGGAGGCTTACATCGCCTGGGAGACGGAGCAGGGCAAGCTGGCCAACGTCACAGCCGTCTACGACCGCATCCTCTGCATTCCCACCCAGCTGTACTCGCAGCATTTCCAGAAGTGAGCGTCACTTTTGATATCTGCTTCTGATGTCAGGAGTTCCCTTTGTAAAACATCATCGCTCTCTGTTCAGGTTCAAAGAGCACGTCCAGAGCAACAACCCCAAGCACTTCCTGTCTGAGGAGGAGTTCGTGCAGCTGAGAGTGGAGCTGGCTAACGCTAACAAGCCTAGCGGAGACGACGCTCCGGGCGAAGAGCTTCCGCCGGGGACGGAGGACCTGCCGGATCCTGCCAAGGTAAGAGCGCCGTCTTTCATCCGCGGGCTTCAAAACATGGCAGAGGTAGGGTAAGGGCGTCTGATCCTGGACACGTGTGCAGGTTTGAAGAGGTGTCTTTCCGTTAGCAGCCAATGAAAACCTGAGGGTCCAGGTTGGCATGACTTGGGCGACTTGGGCTAAAAGTGGGACGGGCTCGTGACGAAATGCCACCGTCCCAGCACCGGCCAGACTGGGTGTGCTGGGTGTGCAAACCGTACTGTTTCTGTCAAAACTCATGGTGACGTAGACCTTTTGCGTAGCTGGACATCAGACGAGATTCAGGACTCTGTGTCGTGCCCTCCAGAGAGGGACGGAGATCGAGAACATGAGGCATAAGGTGACCGAGACCCGCCAGGAGGTGTTTAACCACAACGAGCATGAAGTCAGCAAGCGCTGGGCCTTCGAGGAAGGGGTGAGTGTTTCTGATTATAAGCATCATTGCTGTTCTTACTCCAGGTTAGTGATTGGATTAGCCTTTATGTCCTCTGCTGAGTCCTTCATGGGTCCCTAAAAGGTCTTAAATTCAGTTTGATCACATTTTAAGGTCTTAAAGGAGACATTTTATATGCCCCTTTTTACAATATGTAATATAAGTCTCTGGTGTCCCCAGAATGTGTCTGTGAAGTTTCAGCTCAAAATACTCCACAGATCATTTATTATATCATTTTGAAAATGCCTATTTTGAGTGGAAGCAGAAACACGCTGTTTTTCGTGCCTGTGTCTTTAAATGCAAATGAGCTGC